TACAGCACTCTTTATACAGAAGATCCTCAAAGGGCCAGCCCTTAATATATCTAAATCTCATTTCCTTATACCAATAAGATAGCAGACCGACAGCAAAACTCCCCAATGGATATTGGGAATATCCTTGCCCAGATGGAGCAACAAATTCAAGAGTCAATTGCTACAGCTGTCCAACCTCTTTACGACCAGGTAGCCTCCCTTACAAATAAGGCAGCAGAACAACAACCTCCCTCAGAAAGTACGCTCGCGACTATCGAAGAACGAATGCAGGAATTGATTTCTACCATAGTCCGGCCACTCCAGGAGCAGATAGTAACACTCACCAACGAAAGAAGGCTTTGAATCTCTTCAAACCTAGCCCCCACACCAGCAAACCCAACTGCAATAACGCCAATTACCAAGACCGATCTTGCGGACCGAGCGACCACAAAATAAAAGCCCCTCCCCGACCCACCAAAGTTCTCTGGAATATAGAAGGAATACCCCTCATAGGCCCAGCAGATAAAAGACAAACTACTACTTAATGCAATTTTCTTCAACACGGAATAAGAGAAATAATACTATATTAACTCCCGCCTGAGTACCAAACTACAGCAGATTGTAGCAACTTTTTATGCAACTGCTAGACTATCTACAGGGTACAGCCCCGACAGGTTCTTCCAGTACCTAGACTGGAACTTCCTAAATGCCAACGCAGAAGGAAGAGCAGCTACAACCTTACAAATACTAAAGCAAAAGAAAAAAGAACTCTTTACAACTTTCCTACCGAAGTTTGAGCAAAGCATTGCTGAGGCTGGCGGAGCTAGCTGGGACGACAAGGTAAAGATCACCTTCCTAGAAGGAACTCTAACAAATAAGCTTCGACGAGCACTTATTACTATATAACTGCCAGCAACCTACCCGGAATGGCTCGCTATGGTCTAGAATGTTGCTTGGAAGATGGAGGACCTAGCTGGCGAGGTTAAAAGCAAGCCTAAGGATCAGAGGAGAAACCGGAAATGGAACGACCTGAAGGATACGGACGGCAATATCGCTATAACTGGCGTTAACTGTATGAGCAAATGAGGGGGGAAGTTTAAAGGGAAAGCTCAACGAGCCCGCCCAGACACACCCGACAGCAAGGGTAGCGAAGACGAAGGGAAAGGAGCCTTCACATGCTATTCCTATAGGAAGCCCGGCTACATAGCCAAGTACTGCAAGACGAAGAAGGCTGCTTAAAAGAGAGCAGCTAAAGCCAAACCCTCCGAGAAGAAAGAAAACATCGAGGCTCCAGAGCCCAACAGCTTCGAAGATACCACCGAAGAAGACTCGGGAAACGAGTAGCTCCAACGCGAAAACGGGCGCCGGAGCCGACACAAGTACAGTTGGAAGGCTGGAAACTTCAGAGACCCCAGATGATTGGAGATTCCACCTTACTACAAGTCAGAGTTAATGATCACAAAACGAATACACTAATGAACACTAGATGTGACGCATATATACTAGTGAGTGAGGATTTCGCAAGAAGACTGTCGCTGCCGTACGTAGAAAGGAAACCACGGAACTTCGGGGGATTTACCGACTCCTCCCCCAACAGCCGATCCGCTGGAGTAGCAGTAATGGCTTTGGAAATCGGTAGGCATGAGCAGCTGCTCTACGCCTATGTTATAAAGGACCTTAGCAAAGACCTATTCCTAGAGAAGCCCTAGATAAAATAAAGTAAGATTACATATAATGCAGAAAAAGACCAACTATTTCATGAAGTTGCAGGAATACAGCTACAGCTAGCAACTAAGAAAGAGCCATTAGCAATCTGCCAGATCTAAGATGTACGGTTAGTATACGGATCAGTATTTATAGCTAAATATCAACAGGTCCAATGGGCCCAGCAAGAACAAGACAGCCCAAATATAGCAATCTAAGTAATTACACTGCGAGAGATTGAGAAAGCCCTCTAGACGAAGAAGGCAGTCAACCCATATAAGTACGTCCCGAACCATATGATGGAGAAGTTTAGATACCTATTCTAGTCCTCGGAAGCAGAGAAACTACTACCTTACCGACTAGGATTTAATATAAAAGTTAATATCCAGCAAGACAGTCAGAACAACAAAACCCCACTACCATAGGGGCTACTATACAACATAACTAGGGAAGAACTTCTAGTCTTAAGGAAGATACTTCGGGAGCTTCTAGATAAGGGTTATATCCGCACAAGCAGCTCAGCTACTAGAGCCCCAGTACTATTCGTTAAGAAACTAAATGGTGGTATCCAATTTTATTGCGACTATCGAGCCCTTAATGCAATCTCGCTCAAGGATCGCTATCCCTTACCCCTTATTGCGGAAACACTTCGAGACTTCGCCAACGCAAAGTAGTTCACCAAGCTGGATGTGGTTGCAGCCTTCTACAAGCTGCAAATAGCCAAGGGTTATAAGGCAAAGACTGCCTTCTGTACAAGGTTCGGTCTATACGAATGGAAAGTCTGTCCTTTTGGACTTAGTGGAGCACCAGCAGCATTTCAACGGTATATTAATGGAGTGCTACGAAAGCACCTGGATGACTTCGTTACGGCCTATGTAGACGACGTATTGATCTACTCCTCTGGAAGCCTGCAGGATCATTGGTCAAAAATACAGAAGGTGCTACAACTACTGGGAAAAGCCGGGCTACACTTAGACTCGAAGAAGTGTATATTTGCAACTAAGAAGGTAAAATACCTTGGATTTATTATGAAGGCTGGAAAAGGCATTATATATAACCTAGAGAAGCAACAGGTAATCCGTAACTGGGAGGCACCTACAACTATTAAAGAAGTATAGAGCTTCTTAGAGTTTGTAAACTATTACCGGATCTTTATCCCTGACTTTAGCGAAATCGCGATCCCCCTCACACGCCTCATACAGAAGGAAACCAAGTTTACCTGGGGAAATCCCGAGGAAGTGGCTTTCCAAGAGCTAAAACGCAGGTTCTGCGAGGCGCCCGTACTAGCCGAATGGGACCCACAAAGAGAAACAATAGTCAAGTCCGACTGCTCTGGGTTTGCACTAGGAGGAGTCCTCATGCAGGTTAACAAAAAAGAAGAACATCACCCAGTTGCCTTTCACTCCAGACGCCTCACAGGACCAGAATATAACTACCCCATCCATAATAAGAAGATGCTAGCAGTAATCTCATGCATCAAGCAATGGCAGTCAATGCTATGGAGCTGTGGGCCCTATACCGTTCTCACCGACTATAAGAACCTGGAGTACTTCATAAAGCGACGACGCCTAAATAAACGGCAAAGCCGATAGGCTGATGAGATATCCGGCCACCCGCTAGTACTGAAGTATCGGCCGGGGCGAGAGGCTGTGGTGCCGGATGCACTAAGCCGGAGAGACCAAGATGTCCCGGATGGAATCGACGATCCAAGAGAACAGGCACAATTCATCCAACTACTCCCAGACTCAGCCTCCACGGAATGGAAGCCCAAGGGAGGCCCTACGAGGACGAGCCCTAAGACCCGAGCAGGAAGAAGCGGGCCTAACTCAGAAGAACCCGAAGCAATAGAAGTATTCCCGGACAACCCAGAACTTCAAGAGCTGTGGAATCTGGCTATGGAAACCGATACCGCTTACCAGGGAGCTTATGTAGCTATAAAGCGACGGGATAGAAGCTTTTCCCCGGAATTATAGCTGAAGTTGCA